CAAAAACTTTATGGGAATCATCAATATCAAGAGGAGATGCGCATATCGTCGGGCTTGTTCCGGTCAGGACCCTTTAACTCAGAGTTATGGCCCTTGATTAGTTATGTAGTATGCATTATAGAGTAAAAAATCAATTTCCGCCACTACTTCTCTGCAACTACTGGCTGGAATTCAACGAAACTTTATGGGAACCTTCAATACCAAGAGGAGATGCGCATATCGTCGGCTTGTTCCGGTCAGACACTTTAACTCAGAGTTATGGCCCTTGATTAGTGATGCAGTATCCATATAGAAAAATATTTGTTTCCTCGCTACTTCTCTGCTACTACTTGCTGGAATTCAATGAAACTTTATGAGATACTAAGAGGAGATGTGCATATAGTCGCCTTGTTCCAGTCAGACACTTATAACTCAGATTTATGGCCCTTGATTAGTTATGCAGTATGCATACATTTCATTGGCATTTCCAGATTTTACTATTTAACACAAAGTTATGGCTCTGTTATTGCCCTGAATATTTATCAAGTTTAAAGAATATTACTGTTTATGCCATGATTAATATATAAATAAAGCCTTATGTCTTCAGTTGTTGTGTTAATAATAACCAGTACTCGGTGGGGGATATAAATTCAACGAATTTGCTTGTTAGGAATTGTTTTGTTTCTTTCTGTCTGGAGATGTATTTCAACAGATACTAGATATATCAACTTTTATCAGTGATAGATATTGTCTATATCACTTTATACATAGAAATTTCCTATCTAGTAAAATCTCAGAAATAATATCAGATACTACGAGTGTAGATATGGCCATTTCCAAGGCTTTGAGGGAGAAAAAGCAGATAAATGGCCTAAATCAACCTGTAGGGCAAACTCGGTACAAGATTATTTACTGCTTTGTATATATAAGTAGTTGAAGAGAAATTTGCCTACATTATTCACTCCTAGTTATATTGTGTTATCTTTTCCTGGTAATATGTTTGATATATTTAGCATTGTGGGTAATTAACATAATCGTGTCTGATTGTGTTACAGTTGGATCTTCTCTGGACGAGAAAACAGGACGTGATGTATAACGTGTTTGACTGGCCGACTAAACAGCATGCGAGACTTATCGTATTAGCCGTGGCCAATACGATGGATTTACCAGAAAGAATAATGATGAAACGTGTCTCAAGTAGACTGGTAAGCCACAATTTTGTTATCTGTATCAGACAATCTGATAACAGGTTTGTGATAGGGAGACAGTCTAATTTTCTGATATAGTTCAGAAGCTGTAGGTTTTCAATTAATGAACACTGCTGATTATCAGAGGTGGCTCTTTCCTGCAATTTGTAATACTGTTAATAGAGTCAATGCCATAGAGATCCTACTATATTTAAGGTGAAGTGAATGGGTCCCCTAACAAAATGTCAGAAATATTTTGAATATATTTCTCAAAAAATTAAATTTCATGTTTGTGTATTAAAAATTATCTTGTATTGATTGAGAATATAATATTCAATACTACAAGCTATGATTTCATTTTTTGTTCACTAATTGTGACAAGCTTTAGTATTTTTGGTAGATTCCTTAGTGAAAAATTGTCTTGAAGACATGAACTGAGTTGTCCTTGTTTGAGGAGAAAAATACTTTATAAAATTGACAGCAACTGTGTACATGTATACAGATTACATTATTATTAACATAAATACCATCCTTATCCAATGCCAATGTGCAATGTTACCATATATTGAATAAGATGCATTATCTTTTGAAATGATATTGAGTCTTTATGTTAAAATACACTGGAGGAGGAATATTCAGAAATATAAACATTAAAATTGCTTCAGAAAATACCTTTACTTTAATTATAAACACGAACAATTATCTGAAATTTTGTTCACCACCAGTCCAGACCTACATCAAATAATACACAAGTATTGAAAAAAATATCTTAAGTACCTTCATGTCGAAAATCTCAAGTGGAGTCCCTTTAAAGGGACACTTAGGCAAATTAATGACAAAATATTAAAATGATCTTATGTACCAAAATCACGCTTAAATGACATTTTTTAAAGGCTCCAGCATGAATTTCTGTATCAATTCTATATATTTTGGGTTTAATACATTTATATATATTGATTGAAATTTAGACACCGACAGATTCGACAAGTACTTTTAAAACAAGTCATGTGACTCGAGCAAAACCTGGAAATAACAATAACAGATATTGTGGATATTGCATCATCAAAACAAGTCTAAGTCATTCATTTGACATGTTCTTTAACGTTTCCAGAGTTCACTGTGACAACTTTTGTGAAATCTTAAAGCTCTAACCTGACCCACGCGGGTCAAGTTAGGATACCACCATTTTATTCTTTACAAGGAGAAATGTTTTGTTCCTGTGACTGCCTAGTGTATTTATTTTGAGGACATTTACAAAATAATAAATGAAAAATTCAAAATGAAAATTTTGCCTGTGTCTCCCTTTTGATAAGGTCTTCATAAAGGATATGTTTTTTGGTAGTTTTCAGCATTAGAGATAGCGTGCGTATTGGCGTCATTTACGCAAGCAAATACTCAGGATACGCTAGCTTTGTCATTATTTTGGCGTATATTTACGCATAATAATTACAGTTTACGCATTTAGTGAAACAAATTTGGCGTAGACAATGTTTACATTGACACCGATAAAAATGATTGACTGGTTAGCGTACTGTTCTATAAAGGTGTGTTATTTTCTCATGCTGGGTTTATAATTGCAAACCAGTCGACATTGTATCACTGAGACGCTCGGTAATAGATGTATATAAGATAAATCAAGCGTCTGTCACGTTATTGGAGTAGACGAAAAAATATTGTCAAATTTATCAAATTATCAAATCGTTTACATTGACAATGTCTTGCTCAAAACCTAAACAACGAAAAATCGACACATTCTACCGTGTTACAAGCCCAGTGTCTTCTCAGTGCGTAATTCAGCCAATTATTGAAGAAATTTTGACTATTGTTTGCAAGAGCAAAAAAAACTCATTCGACAGCATTAGATGCTACGATCAAATCATGGTGTAAAAGTTTCCAGTGGCTGTCTGTAACGTCAGATACGACAGGTGTAGTGCCTTTGAAATGTGCCTTGTGTTGTAAGCACAAAATAGGTGGAAAATGGGCCACAGAAGGGGTCCTCAACATCCAAAAGTCTAACATTGAACGGTAAAAAAATAAATTAATTGCAACCTTTTATTTTGTACCTAGCTCCTTTTTTTAAAGAAAAAAAATACAATGAAACTAAGTTACACTTTACACCTTATTTAATTTCATTTATATGTTGGATAATTTACAGTCCTTTAAATTTAAAATAAAACAGTAATCTCAACATACAATTTGGTAAATAAATGGTTGATTATTAGCCCACAAGCTAAAAGAATTCAGTGCAGGTCACAACTGTTTGCATGTATAAATTTACTTCATTTCACATAAAAATGGTTCAAGTTCTTATAATATGCCTTAAACCTAAATATAAATAATACATTGCCATGCTGCAATATTTCTGATAAATTATGTGTATAAAGTGTAAATACATGATACCAATAAATACAAGTGATCTATGGATACATTTTGTTTGCAGTATGGTTCCTAAGTTTAGATGTGGCAAATTGACTCCAAAGTTCTTAAAACTGAGAGTCAATTTTACTCCTTCATTTGGCCAGAAACTGGCAGTTTACTCTCAAGTATAAAAAACAGAGAGTATTGACTCCTGAGTAAAAATAATTATCTAGAACACTGAGTTTTAAATTATAAGATGGTTTTAAATGTCTAGAATGCTATTGACTTTTCAATGTTTTGCACTATTTAAAGGGTTTAACAAGAATGACGTTCCAACCATACACATTCAAGCAGCTTCAGACAATTGTTTTGTCACGTATGAAAGGGTTGAAGGCATTTGACGAGGACGCCATTCAGTTAGCCGCTAGAAAAGTCGCAGCTCTGTCGGGTGATGCTCGTAGAGCGTTGGACATTTGTCGTCGAGCGACCGAAATTGCCGAACTTGTAGCTATGAAACAAAAGAAGGATGTGCTAGTAGGAATGACTCATGTGGACGCAGCTTTACAAGAGATGTTCTCTTCTCCAAAGATTGTAGCCATCAGGTATGTTGTCTATAAGTATTTACCATTGAACTGAAAGACCACTCCATAGGAAACGTGGAAGGAGTCATTAGTTGTTGTTTGTTTTGGATTCTTTGGTTAAACGGTTATTGTGACAAAATGCAAATCACTTTCCCCGGGTATCTGTGTCCGAGTGGTTTAAGTGGCCCACTTCATATGATTTACCTCTCACTTCTGAGGCTACAAATATGCAAAGGTTTTAGAATTCTTAAATTTTCAAGCTTGTTGGTCTGATCACAGATTCCAGCTTATTCCTGAAATGTGAACTAGAGGCATCCAATGGCCATATTCTTTTCCACAAGTAAAGCAGGAAAGTCCCCATATAATCTATTTGGTGAACTGAATTTAAAAATAAAACAGGTTTTTATTGTTGTTGTTTTTCAAAGGACACTGAATTAAAATACATCACTAAAATGCAGTATTTCAGTCAGTTTTATGTTTGTCCTAAATATGCATTCTTTTTATGTTGGGATACTTGTTGCATATTTAATAGAAAACAGTAGGATAAAATATAGATAAATGTTTAATTATACTTATTTATCTAACCTTTTTTTGCTGTTCAGTGTTGTAGAAAAAGGTAAATAAGCTGTTTAGGAAATATTTAGGTTGCACAATAAACTGCATGCAGAAAAAATTGTGACTGTAAAATACAGAATTTTTAGAAAAAGCTTATACTGTAAAATCATTTTTATTGGTGGGGCACAAATTTTCGTGGTTTTCGTGGGTAGTTCAATCCACCAATTTAAGATTCAACGAAATTTTATCCCAACAAATACTTCTTGCCATGTCTCTATTCTATATATTACAAACATGCATCAGCGCTTTTCCACTGATTTTTGTGTAATGAATGCCCAGAGGCAATGATTAAATTTATTGACTCTGTGTGATACATAAAGATATGTACATGCGGTAAGTAAAATGCATGGCGATTAAGTGTAAGATTACTTTTGTACATAAATTTCATGCCCACGAATATAAGCAAATACACAGTATTGGATATTATCAATTCCACTTTGATTTGAATAAAATGTTTGCATATACATGTAAGATATTCTAAACACTTTTACTTTTTGCGATATGTGAATGTAATACTCATTTATAAGCTAATGTTTTCAACTGTTTTGGTAATTATTGTTTTGATTGGGATTACTACGGATGTATATCCTAAAGTTGACTTGGAGAGGGGGTTATATTGCCTAACACTTGAGACAGCTAAAAATATCCTGTTTATGTTTAACATCTTATTTTAGGAATGCCTCTGATCAGGAGAAAACATTATTGAGAGCCGTGGTTGCCGAGTTCCAGAGACTGGGATTAGAGGAAGCAGAGTTCTCTAGAGTGTATAATCAGCATATCTCACTTTGTAGGCTGGAGGGTACGCTGATTTTACTTAATGTTTTTATGTTATATTGAATTTTATATGTATTCTATCATGGAATTGTGTGGCTATTTCATCTTGACTCTGTCTGGGGGGAAAACTGGATGTTTAAACATTTTGTGATCGTAAATATTTGTGATTAATATAGCATACATGTTTATTATGCCCCCATTTTGAAAAAAAGGGGGTATATTGCTTTGCACTTGTCGGTCCGTCGGTCCGTAGACCAAATGGTTTCCGAGTGATAACTAAAGAACCCTTAGGCCTAGGAACTTCAAACTTGGTATGGTGATTGGTCATGACCAGTAGATGACCCCTATTGATTTTGGGGTCAAGTGGTCAAAGGTCAAGGTCACATTGACCTTGAAAGCAAAAACGGTTTCCGATCAATAACTAAAGAACCTTAAGGCCTAGGAACTTCAAACTTGGTATGGTGATTGGTCATGACCAGTAGATGACCCCTATTGATTTTGGGGTCAAGGGGTCAAAGGTCAAGGTCACATTGACCTTGAAAGCAAAAACGGTTTCCGATCAATAACTAAAGAACCTTAAGGCCTAGGAACTTCAAACTTGGTATGGTGATTGGTCATGACCAGTAGATGACCCCTATTGATTTTGGAGTCAAGGGGTCAAAGGTCAAGGTCACATTGACCTTGAAAGCAAAAACAGTTTCTGATCAATAACTAAAGAACCTTAAGGCCTATGAACTTCAAACTTGGTATGGTGATTAGTCATGACCAGTTGATGACCCCTATTGATTTTGGGGTCAAGGGGTCAAAGGTCAAGGTCACATTGACCTTAAAAGCAAAAACGGTTTCCGATCAATAACTAAAGAACCTTAAGGCCTAGGAACTTCAAACTTGGTATGGTGATTGGTCATGATCAGTAGATGACCCCTATTGATTTTGGGGTCAAGGGGTCAAAGGTCAAGGTCACATTGACCTTGTAAGCAAAAACGGTTTCTGATCAATAACTAAAGAACCTTAAGGCCTAGGAACTTCAAACTTGGTATGGTGATTGGTCATGATCAGTAGATGACCCCTATTGATTTTGGGGTCAAGGGGTCAAGGTCACATTGACCTTGTAGGTAAAAACGGTTTCCGATCAATACCTAAAGAACCTTAAGGCTTAGGAACATCAAACTTGGTATGGTGATTGGTCATGATCAGTAGATGACCCCTATTAATTTTGGGGTCAAGGGGTCAAAGGTCAAGGTCACATTGACCTTGTAGGTAAAAACGGTTTCCGATCAATAACTAAAGAACTTTAAGGCCTAGGAACTTCAATCTTGGTATGGTGATTGGTCATGATCAGTAGATGACCGTATAGATTTTGGGGTCAAAGGTCAAGGTCACATTGACCTTTTAATTAAAAACGGTTTCTGATCAATAACAAAAGAACCCTTAGGCCTAGGAACTTCAAACTTGGTATGGTGATTGGTCATGATCAGTAGATGACCCCTATTGATTTAGGGGTCAAGGGGTCAAAGGTCGAGGTCACATTGGCCTTGTAGGTAAAAACGGTTTCCGATCAATAACTAAAGAACCTTAAGGCCTAGGAACTTCAAACTTGGTATGGTGATTGGTCATGATCAGTAGATGACCCGTATAGATTTTGGGGTCAAGGGGTCAAAGGTCAAGGTCACATTGACCTTTTAATTAAAAACGGTTTCTGATCAATAACAAAAGAACCCTTAGGCCTAGGAACTTCAAACTTTGTATGGTGATTGGTTATGACCAATCAGATGACCCCTATTGATTTTGGCGTTAAGGGGTCAAAGGTCAAGGTCACATTGACCTTGTAGGTAAAAACGGTTTCCGATCAATAATGAAAGAACCCTTAGGCCTAGGGACTTCAAACTTGAGATGGTGATTGGTCATGATCAGTAGATGACCCCTATTGATTTTGGGGTCTAGGGGTCAAAGGTCAAGGTCACATTGACCTCTTAGGTAAAAACGGTTTCCGATCAATAACTAAAGAACCCTTAGGCCTAGGAACTTCAAACTTGGTATGGTGATTGGTCATGACCAGCAGATGACCCCTATTGATTTTGGGGTTAAGGAGTTAAAGGGCAAGGTCACATTGACCTTGTACGTAAAAAATGCTTTCCGATCAATAACTTAAGAACCCTTATGCCTAGGAACTTCAAACTTGGTATGGTGATTGGTCATGACCAGCAGATGACCTATTGATTTTGGGGTCAAGGGGTCAAAGGTCAAGGTCACATTGACCTTGTAGGTAAAAACGGTTTCCGATCAATTAACTAAAAACGCTTAGGCCTAGGAACTTCAAACTTTGTGTGATGATTGGTCATGACCAGCAGATGACCCCTATTGAGTTTTAGGTGAAGGGGTCAAAGGTCAAGGTCACATTGACCTTTTAAGTAAAAAACGGTTTCTGATCAATAATTCAAGAACGCTTAGGCCTAGGAACTTCAAACTTGGTATGGTGATTTGTCATGACCAGCAGATTACTCCTATTGATTTTGGGATCAAGGGGTCAAAGGTCAAGGTCACAATGACCTTGTAAGTAAAAAACGGTTTCTGATCAATAACTAAAGAACGCTTCGGCCTAGAAACTTCAAACTTGGCATGGTGATTGGTCATGACCAGCAGATGACCCCTATTGATTTTGGGGTCAAAGGTCAAGGTCACATTGACCTTGTATGTTAAAACGGTTTCCGATCAATAATAAGAGAACCCTTAGGCCTAAGAACTTCAAACTTGGCATGGTGATTGGTCATGACCAGCAGATGACCCCTATTGATTTTGGGGTCAAGGGGTCAAAGGTCAAGGTCACATTGACCTTGTAGGTAAAAACGGTTTCTGATCAATTTACTAAAAACGCCTAGGCCTAGGAACTTCAAACTTTGTTTGATGATTGGTCGTGACCAGCAGATGACCCCTATTGAGTTTTGGGTCAAGGGGTCAAAGGTCAAGGTCATGACCAGTAGATACTTTATAACCCTTATTAATTGTTTGATCACTGGGTCAGAAGTCATGCATAATAACCTTATCACATGACTAATTGGCTGCTGATAGGGGGCATACATGTTTTACAAACATATCTTGTATTACAGATATATTGACTTTCAATCAGAACAACACAATATAAACCTTGTGTCGATTGTCTTATATTATTCATCATAAAAATTCTTTTCACAAATTATTTTCCCAGATTAAATTTTGAAAATTAAGGCTAAAATGATTTTTTGGGAGTTTTTCCTGTATTACTTTCTATCGAGAATTGTTTTGTTTTATTCAGGCATGCAGCCTCCATCAACAGGAGAGCGGGCGGGAAAATATTTCACATTGGGAAGTTTAGTCTTCTATGATGAAATTCAGTCATAACCTCAATAGAGAGTGGGGCTCAAGATCCCGGGACATTTCTGTACGCACTCGAGATAAGAAAAAGTATATGAGATTAAAGTAATAGAAAAAATGCATGATACATTCAAACATGTGATTTAAAAAGTGGGCAAAAAAATTGAGCATTTGAATTAAGTGAGCAAAGTAATTAGAGCATGTGAATTAAAAGTGAGCAAAAAATATTGACATGTTGGCTAAAAGTGAGCAAAAAAAGCAAATAAAGCAAAAAAATATGTACACGTGAACTAAAAGTGAGCAAAAACAAAAAGGAGCATGTGAAATGAAAGTGAGCAAATGAGCAAAAATTACACAAGTACTGTATTTACAAATGTTGCAGTATAAAGGGAGGTAACTGATATTATGTTATTTAAATTTGAAGTAAAGATTATCTGTTGCTGGTGAAGGTGTAACAAAATACAGACTAGTTTCCCATGTACCTGAATATTTTACTTACCAAAAACGGTATAATTATGTTAAGTTGAAAACAAAAACCTGTAGTGGTTAAATTTGCAAAGCATGACTTAGCAAATGAAATTCGGGAGGTTTTTTTTTTTCTTGTTTTTTTTTCAAAAGATGAGCTGTTAAATTCATAAAATCAAAAAAGCTATTTTTTGAAGGGGTGAGCTTTGGGTACTTAATTTCGTATGAAAATATTTAGATGTATTTTTTAAAAAAAAATTTTTGTTGAGAATCCATTTTTTTTTAAACAAAAAAAAATACGATAAAATGGAAATGTATTGAAAACTAATTACTTATTTTGAAAAAGGAAATAGAGGCACATCATTTCAAAATTGGCAATTGATGGTCCTAAAATAAACAAAATGGTACTTACAATTAAAAGATCTGCAGTGAAAACATTTTTCCCCAAAACTTTGAAGATTAATTTTATTCTGTGGCTTATCTTTTAGAATGCTGCATTAAATTTTTGCTTACAGTGACCATGCTATACTTTTGAGCAACAGTTGTGCGTGAGCAAAGTTTCAGTGAGGAAGTTTTTTACTTTTTCAATTTTGTAGTGTTAAAATTCCATTGTAAGGATCATATAAAATTGGTAATGGTGCTTAGAATAAATTGATAATGATTTACTTCTAATAATAAATGAGTTTCTGATGTAGTGGTGAGTATGTATGTTATAAGAAGTTATATTTTGACAAATTTTTTTAATAGGAAGGATTAATGATGTTAAAGTCACAGATGTATTTTTTTAACCCAGGGTTGACTGAATTCAAAATCAAATAAAAGGAGGGGGACCAATTTATGAAGCAATATTGAATAAATCTGTGTTTTGTATTTATAATTTTAATTGTACATTTACCTGTAAATTGCGATATTTTTATTATACATGTATGCACAGTGGAATAAATTTTTACTTGTTTAAATGTTTGTTTTTGATCTCTTTTCTAGCCATGGAGTCTGAAAGAGTCTCTGAAATGATAAAACTTTATTATCACAAAAGGAAATTCATCTATTGGAAAGTTGGATAGATTTAAATTAGCTAACTTGCCTTTTTTTATACGCCCGTTTGAAAAACGGGACGTATTATGGGAACGCCCCTGGCGGGCGGGCGGGCGGCGTCCAATTTTGTCCGGAGCATATCTCCTACATGTATGGAGGGATTTTAATGAAACTTCATAGAAATGTTCACCACTATGAGGAGCAGTGTCGCGCACATGAACCAGGTCTCTAGGTCAAAGGTCAAGGTCACACTTAGAGGTCATTGAAAAATGCTTGTCCGGAGCAAAACTTCCACATGTATAGAGGGATTTCAATATTACTTGGCACAAATGTTCACCATTGTGAGGCGGAGTGTCGCGTGCAAGATTCAGGTCCTTGCGGCCAAAGTCAAGGTCACACATAGAGGTCAAAGTTCAGATAAAAATATGAAGATGTGTATATGGACCATTTAGTCATCATTTATTGAGGGATTGTAACACAAATGGTGATTATCAAGACTATGGCTGTGATACATATAATTTAGGTCAATATATACAAGGTCAAGGTCACTAAAGATGATGAAATATCCAGATTTTGTAAATAGAATTTAATCAAAGGGCAACAACAAAGTTATTACTTTGTTCATAAATGACTTACACAATTACTCCCTTGATCTACTTTCACTTTCAATTCTAAAAATAGAATTTAATCAAAGGGCATAAAATAATCCTCTTTCTTGGACTTGAGTATGTTCTAAAGAATGTAACATTTATTTACACATGTTTCATTCATTGGTCAAGATTCTTAACTGTGATAACTATGGTGTTCTGTAGACTTGGTATTTGTTCATAAAGATCATACAGTAATTACCTTATCAAATGTAAATACTTTCTCATAGAAATTTAATTATATTTTAATTTTCAAGTAAATATCAGTTCAGCTCATTCAAAGATTAAGAATTGTAATGAAATGTATTTCCCTAGAATAAAATCTTAAATCAGAATTTTTTAGTTATTAAATTACAATTACATGTACTTTTTATCTTCCCTACTGATTTGTTTTAAGGTTCATTTAACAACACAGTGCGGCTGTGCCAAGGATAAAAACTTGCTTGCTAGATAACACTTATCCATAATGCCCCCATCTCCATCTAAAGCTTTCGTAAACGGGCGTATTTTGTGACTATGGCACCCTTGTTTCAAGTATATTTTTTGGGGTTAAGAGTGTTCAAAAGATTCGCAACTCCGGTAATCATAACAGTTGTTACATTTTGGCCAAGTTTGCATTCTATGTTATTTGCCTTTTACTGTTGTTTCTCACTTGAGGCAGTATTATCACGTTATACCGAGCTAGGGGTATAAGTATTAAGAATATTATGTCGGGGGGAAAATTTGATGGAAAGCTGTCAATGCCTAAATCCTATTTTGTATTTTTGGTTTATTTCTATTTGCCTATAACATGGGATAAGTGAATAATTGTTTTACTCACAATATAGAGAGTATTCTGCTTTTCATTCACTACTAACAATAGTAATTTAGAGCCTTAATCATTAGTTGAGCAATATAAGGGCCATCATGGCCCTCTTGTTATATTCAGTATAAGGAAATAATGCAACAGATGAATACAATATTATATACTGAACAAAAATAAAAGAAAAAGAAACTTCCCCTGTATTTTAGTGCAGATATACACAAATACGAAAATCATATTAATAAATAATAAAGTAGATTTATATGATTGTATTAAAAGAATTTTTTTTTTTGTGTGTGTGTGAAAAAAAATATTTCCGAGGGTTTTATCCAAAATTAGTGAAATGGTAGTTAAAATGCAGAAGGGGCCGCCAAACAAAATCACAAAATATCCGGTATAACCGCCTTCAGCATGAAGGACTGCCTGGCATCGTTGGCGCATAAAACAAATCAGCGTCTTGATTTAGTATTGTGGAATGTTGTTCCATTCCTGAATTAAGGCTTGTCGTGGCTGAATGACGTTTGGTGGTGGAATAGGGCGACGTCTTACACGCTGGGGGCAAATTATCCCAAAGATGTACATTGGGATTTAGATCGGGGCTTTTGGCAGGCCACTCATTAATGAATGCAATGTCATTTGCCCTGAAGAAATTCCCAGTGTCCCTAGCTGTATATGGCTTGTAGCATTATCATGTTGAAAAGAGTGATATTGGCATTATTTTGAAACAGTGGGATAACATGCCTCGCAAAATTTCATCTCGGTAGCGTTAGTCATACGTTATGCGTTATGCCATCAGCTCAATGACTCGCCAGAGAAAAGAACGCTAATCCATTGTTGTCTAAGCCAGTGCATGTGTGCACATGCCCAAATAACACGATTTACGCGGTGACGTCGCCAACGTATGGTCCACGTCCATGTAGTCAACCTTCGCGCAAGCGATTGCGCACAGTTTGGGTAGATTTACGGTTGTTATGTGTACCAGGGGTAGTAGCTGTGGCAGTTTGAAAACGATTGCGCAGATGGGTTCTTCGAGTATAGCGATCTTCGGCACGCGTCGTGACGGGCAAACATCCAATAGTCTATGAGCTTCATTCCGTCCATAATCTTAGTTAAAAAGAAGGAAATCCCATCAACCGACTGGTTTATGTGGTAATTTTACTGGTTACCAAGATCAAAGAAAAAACACATAAACCCCAAATGTTGGCACGTCCGCGTGGACGCCCGCTACGTGGCGCCCTGTTGCTTAAAACGTTGCCTAAGGTGTCGAATAGCACGAGTAGAACATCAAATATTCGTAGCGACGGCATTCATCGTCATACAGGCATTAAGAATCCCAATGGCATGATCACGTAAATTTTGCGGTATTCTTGGCATAATTATGAAAAAAAAAAAATCAAAAAGAAAAATCAAAGTCTTTTTCTGATTGCTATGAAAGTCTTTAAAATTACACTGAAAGGTTTCATAACATTTACACGAAACTACTGTTCCGTGCATGCACGTGAAAATCGCGTTCAGCGGGTTTCTCCTGCAAAACGCGATTAAATCGGGTTAAAAATTGTTTTATCGGACACATAATCGTTCGCCCGAATATGAAGCTCATTTGACATTTTGATTTCTTTAAATAACACTACATCTCAGCTTAAACACAGTGGAAGTTTCTTTTTTGTTCAGTATATGGTCTAATTAAACACCCATGATTAATTTGCAAATACCATGAACAGTCAAGTACAATGCTTTCATTCTCAACACAAACAGTTATATAGTTATAAATTACATTTTTTGTAATAAATTCCAAACATTATAATGCCTGTTTAATGACATACTAGTTCTGGTTATTTGTTTTTATTCACAGAAGCCTGTATTGTCTTGTTCATGCATAAAATAATAAATGTACACGATGATCTCTTCTATATATATTCTATATACGCTTTGATGTTTCTCAAAGTTCTGTTTTATGCCAGCAACATGTTTTTTTGGTAATAATGCACAGTTCGATATCTCAGCTAATGCACACTTCTTTATAAAAAGTGTGCACTGTTCCAAATAAAGCACTGTGAATTATGGAAGTATATTCGGTT